CACCTCAGCCTCCCAAAGGCGCGGGATTACAGGCTGAGCCACCGAGCCCGGCTCAGGGTTGAGTTTTAATCAGGTTAGTCTACTGGGGACAGGGAAAGCAGTGCCCTAGAAGGACGGGAAGGGTGTGTCTGTAGGGCAGAGAACACTGGGCTGGAACCCTGCCTCTGTTCCTCACCGGTGCTAGCCCTGAAGTCCCAGTTCCTCTTGGAACCTCTGTCTTTTTTATTTGTTTGTTTGTTTGTTTTGAGTTGGAGTCTCACTATGTCACCCAGACTGGAGTGCAGTGGCCGCTTCCGGCCACCACAGCATTGCCCGCTGGGTTCAGGTGATCCTTCTGCTTCAGCCTTCCAAGTAGCTGGAACTACAGGCGCGTGCTACTACACCCGGCTAGTTTTTTTTTTATTTATTGTAGAGATGAGGTCTCGCCAAGTTGCCCAGGCGGGTCTCGAACCCACGGGCTCAGACAATCCACTCACCTCAGCCTCCCAAGGCATGGGATGACAGACTGAGCCACCAAGCCCGGCTGGAACCTCTGTCTTTTTTTTTTTTTTTGAGTTGTAGTCTCACTGTGTCACCCAGACTAGAGTGCAGTGGCCGCTCCCAGCCACTGCACCCTCGACCTGCTGGGCTCCGGCGATCCTTCCGCCTCAGCCTTCCAAGTAGCTGGAACAACAGGCGCGCGCTACCATGCCCGGCTGATTTTTGATTTATTGTAGAGATGAGGTCTCACCAAGTTGCCCAGGTGGGTCTCGAACCCGTGGGCTCAACAATCCACTCAGCCTCCCAAAGGCGTGGGATCGCAGGCTGAGCCACCGAGCCTGGCTTCCTCTGTCCTTTTAAAGTGGAGAGAGTACTGCTCACCCCAGGGGGGCAGCCATGAGTGTCAGGGAGGGTGTGTACTCCCCGTGGCACTGAGAGTGGCTGGGACGCTGGGGCTCACTCACCCGCGGATGTCCATGGGGTCCAGCTCCCTGCGCCGGCGCCCGCTGCCTCCACTCGGGAGCAGCGAGGCCTTCACCTGGTCCAGCAGGGAGCCGGGCGCAGCCCAGCCCTCAGCGGCACGCTTGATGGGGTGCTTACGCAGCTCCTCCTCCCGGCCGTAGTAGGGGAATATCATCTGGCGGCCGTGGGCGTCGCGCTTGAAGACCACATTGGTGTGCAACACACGGCTGAGCTCACGCAGGAAGTGGAAGGAGTTGTTGCGCAGCTGCTCGGGCGGCGTGAGCACCACCACCACCAGCGTGCCCGCCGCCAGTCGCTCGGGCACGTGATCCGCGCAGTCCAGCCCATCCCACTCGCACTCGGCGCTGTTGCAGCCCTGGTCGCAGTGCCCATCGCTGAAGTGGTCCTTGCAGTACTGGTCGTACAGGGGGCTGCAGGGGCGGCGCACGGTCAGGCTGCAGTCCTGGGAACCCGCTCGCCCTCCCTTTCCTGGGCCGAACCCGGGAAATGAGTCCCAGGGGCCCACGCCACACCACGCCATGCCGCGTCCTAGCCCGGGGCCTTCCCCCACCCAGCCCAGGGCCTTCCCCCCTTCCTCCTGCCATGTGGGGGATGGCTCTTTCCGCCACGCGGGCAGCTGCCCATCCCAGGGACGTGCCCACCCTCCCCAGGCCGAACCTGGGGAAATGTGTCCCACCAGCCAGGGTCCAGGCCCACGCCACACCATGCCACATCCCAGCCCGGGTCCTTCCCCCACCCCAGCCCCTCTAGCTCCGTGGCGGACAACTCGCTTTCCATGGGGGACAGCTCCCCACCCCAAGGATGCACCAGCCCTCTCTGGGCCAAACTTGGGGAAATGTGTCCCACCGGCACCTATGGCCAGTGTCCAGACCCACGCCACACTACGCCACACCACATTCCAGCCTGGGAGCTTCCCCACCCCATTCCCTCCCACGCCATGGGAGACGGCTATCTTCCCATCCGGGGATGGCTTCCCTGGGCGCCCCATGCGGAGCAGTCGTCCTGCGGCCTTACTTGCACTGGGCCTCGGCGCGCTGGCAGTCAAAGCCATCGAAGAGGCAGCCGGCCACGTTGCACTGGGTGTCGCAGCGGCCATCGCTGAAGTATTTCCAGCACTGCAGAGACTGTGAGCAGTTCTTCCAGGGGTCGTTGAAGTTGAGTGAGCAGTCACCACCATCCCAGCCACACGCATGGTTGTTGCACTGCGGGTTGCAGACCTTGTTGCCCGCATCCCCCTGGCACTCGGGCACTTCGCAGGCCTCCTCGATCTGCGGCGGGGAGATGTCCCGCCCGGCACCGCCCGTGAAGCCATAGTCCAAGATGTGGCACAGCAGCCCGTTGAACTTGGCGGGGCACAGGCAGCGGTAGAAGGGACTCTCGGTCGTGGGCTCGCAGCTGCCCTGGTTGTAGCAGGGGTTGGCGCCCAGGCAGGGGCTGCTGGCCGGGAACTGGCACTCGGGGCCTGTGAAGGCACCCAGGCACAGGCAGGTGGGCGTCCGTGGGCCGGAGAGGCATGTGCCACCATTGAGGCAGCGGAGGCCACCGCACGTGCGTGCGTCGTTCTCACACGTGGCGCCCTCAAAGCCCTGCCAGGAAGGACAACAAGACAGGGTGGTCAGGGCCGGCTGCTCCCCGGACGCTGCGTGCCCCAGCCCAGCCCATGGTGCCCCTATCTGGGAGAGGGGCTTGTGGCCTTGGCCCCAGCGGCACGATCCTCTAAACCAGGCATGTCCAACTTCCTGTGGCCTGTGGGCTACACATGGCCCAGGACAAAACCTCTTTTTTTTTTTTTTGAGTTGGAGTCTCACTCTGTCGCCCAGACTGGAGTGCAGTGGCCACTCCCAGCCACCGCAGCTTTGACCTGCTGGGCTCCAGCGCAGGCACGCGCTACCACGCCCGGCTAATTTTTTGATTTATTGTAGAGATGAGGTCTCGCCTGCCCAGGTGGGTCTCGAACCCATGGGCTCAGGCAATCCACTCAACTCAGCCTCCCAAAGGCGCGGGATTACAGGCTGAGCCACCAAGTCCGGCTGACAAAACCTCTTAACATCACATTAAGATAAACATTCTCAATGAGCACCTCAGGAAATCTTGTTGTTTATATGATACACTACACTACATACACATACACACACCAGGAGTGACAAACGTATACACATTTTAAGAGACGTTATCTGTGTGTTACTTTTCCAAGTTAAATTGAATTACAGTAGCAATATATAATTGCAGAAATCAAATATGACTTGTATTCATCTTTTATTATCAATATATATTATTACAACCTTAATACAGTTTTTTTCCTTTCTTAAAATATATGTCGTTTTTTTCGGCACCCTCTGTATATACTAACTATATTAAATAATTTACGTGTAGCCCAAGATAACAACTCTTTATTTGAAGCCAAAAGTTTGGACACCCTTGCTTTAACTGATATTCTCCAGAAGGTGCAAATATTGGTGGGGGCCGGGAGATCAGAAGCCAAAGGAAGGGGAGAATCGGGGGAGCCCTGGGGATTTTATGGCAGTAATACTCTACAACACTGTGATGGTGGACTTGTGTCACTCTGGCAGTCTGGACCTGCAGAATTACACCACCAAGAGCCAACCCTGAAGTTGACTAGGCATGGGAGTTAGTAACAATGTGTCAGTGTCCCCTGTCCAGCTAACAAGCACACTGCCTGCTGCAAGATGGTAGCCACAGGGGACTGCACGAAAGGTGCACACGGAGACTCGACTTGCTGCTCAATTCAGCTTAAACCTAAAACCACTCTGTAGCGTTTGGGCCGGACACGGTGGCTCATGTTTATAATTCCAGCATTTTGGGAGGCCAAGGCAGGAGGATTTCTTGAGCCCAGGGGTTCAAGACCAGCCTGGGCAACACAATAAGACCTTGTCTCTAAAAAAAAGAGCCAGGCATAGTAGTGCATGCCTATAGTTCCAGCTACTCAGGAGGCTGAGGTGGGAATATTGCCTGAGCCCAGGAGGTCGAGACAGCAGTGAGCCATGATAATGCCACTGCACTCCAGCCTGGATGCCAGAATGAGACCCCCAACTCGACAAAGTTTATTAAAACTAAAGAAATGACCTCAGGGTAAATAAGGACGATGATGAGGCTGCCTCCCTCCTCAGCCTCTGGGTCCCGAGAAACTCAGACTGACAGGCTCCAGGTGAGGGGGTGGGACACGCCCCCCGCTTCTGCCATGGCCACACCTACCGCCGGACACCTGCAGATGAAACCTCGGGCCGTGTTGGAGGCCACTGCGCAGGTGCCTCCGTTCCTGCAGGGCCTGCTCTTGCAGCCATTGATGACCGACTCGCAGCGGCGCCCTGCAGGGGACAGGTGAACAGTGAGAAGCCTGCCCTGACCCCTGTGCGCCCACCCCCCCACTGGCCCGCAGCACCCACCTGTGTGGCCTGCACGACACTCGCAGTGGAAGTCGTTGACACGCTGCACACAGTTCTGGGTGCCGCGGGCATCGCAGGGGTTGGACAGACACTCATTGACGTCGCCCTCACAGCGCTCGCCCACAAAGCCTGGCGGGCAGGCGCAGCTGTAGCCCCCGACCTGGTCCACACAGGTGCCGTTGTTGAAGCACTTAGGGCTGCGGGAGGTGCGGTCCACAGGGTGGCTGCAGTCGTCCACATCAATTTCACAGTGCACACCTGCAGGCCAGGTGCCGTCAGGGGTCCCGCAGATGCTTGGGAGAGGTGGGGCGCCGCTGCCTCTGAGAAGCCCACGCCTCCTGCCATGACACCCCACCCAGGTCCTTCCCTGGCCAGCTCTGCACCTGCCCTCAGGCCCCTGAAGCAGGATAGGGCTCCTGGCCGGTCCCAGGCCACCTCTGGCTGGGCGCGGGTGTCTGACGTGTCCATGTTCCCCCAGCTGTGCTGTCCCAAGCCTAGCTCTTACCCTGGGTGCCCCGGGGGCAGGAGCACTTGTAGGTGTTGATGAGGTCGATGCAGGTGCCCCCGTTCTGGCAGGGGTGGGACAGGCACTCGTTGACCTCCTCGGAGCAGTTCACCCCGTGGTAGCCGGCCACGCACTGCAGGAAACGGGATGGAGTGGGGCGAGTGCTGCTGTCAGCCGGGGCCAGGACACCACGCTCCCCCACCCCGCTGTGCAGGCCAGTGGGGTCCTATGGGCTGCCCTCCTCTGGCCCCTCACACCGGGCAGACCTGGAGGAAGACCCCAGCCCAGCAGATGCCGGGTGGGGCCTTGGCCAGCCGAGTCACTACTTGGGGGCAGGGAGGGCCATGCCCTGTCTCACTGGAGAGTGATGAGGGCAGATACAACCCAGAGGGAAACCCCATCCAACTTCTCTGCATTGTCTTCCTCCCTCAGGCTCCCCACAGGTCACCTCCCCAGACAGTCTTCCCTGATTACCCTAGCCCTCCCATAACGACTGACCGGTGGCGCACAGGTCTGTTGGGTTCCATCTCCCCCACCGTGCCAGCCCCCAGACACTCATGCCAGCCGCCCACCACCCGCACGGGATGGGCCCCCACCTTGCAGGAGTAGCCACCCAGGTAGTCCGTGCAGGTGGCCCCGTTCTGGCAGGGGCTGGGTGAGCACTCGTCCACCAGGTCCTCGCAGTAGCTGCCCGTGTAGCCTGCCTGGCAGCGGCAGTGGTGTGTGTTGCCTGCGTCCAAACAGAACCCTCCGTGCTGGCACAGGTGGGCGACGTCGACGCCTGAAGGGGGCGCATGGGAGGGAGGGGCATGAGGCCAGGAGACCCGCAGACCTGAGTGGGGCTGGGCAGGGGCCAAGCCGGGTACCTTGCTGCTTGGCTGCCACCTCACAGGACACGCTGGGCACGTCGCAGTACAGGCCGGTCCAGCCGCTGGGGCACTCGCAGCGGTACTGCGTGTGGGTCTGCCAACACTTGCCACCGTTCTTGCAGGGGGATGAGTCGCACCAGCGCACAAGGTTCTGGGGACAGGCGGGGGTCAGCCGGGTGCCCCCCCCACCCGTTAGCTCCAAAAGACCTGCCAAAGACCCTCATGCACAACGTGGGCTGTGACCCCATCCTACAGAGATGAAACTGAGGCCTGTAGACTACTCTTGTTACCACTCTTAGGGCTGGGGTCTCTCTCTTTCAGGGCCCCAGAAAATTCAGACCCCCAGAGGCCCTCCCTGGAAGGAATGTCTTTCATCGGAAATGAAACTGTGTGTGTGTGTGTGTGTGTGTGTGTGTGTGTGTGTGTGTGTGTGTGTGTGTTGGCATCTCACTGTCACCCAGACTGGAGTACAGTGGCATGCTCATGGACACTGCAGCCTCGACCTGCTGGGCTCAGGTGGTCTTTCTGCCTCAGTTTCCAGGTAGCTGGAACCACAGGTGTGCATTTCCACACCAAGCTGATTTTTTTATTTATTGTAGAGATGAGGTCTCACCAAGTTGCCCATGCCAGTCTTGAACCCCTGAGGCTCAGGAAAGGCTCTCCTCCACCTCCCAAAGTGCTGGGATTACAGGCATGAGCCACTGCATCCAGCTTAAAACACTTTTTCGAAGGTTTGGTTATGTTGCCCACATACTTAAGCTGGAGTGCAGTTGTGTAATCATGGCTCACGGCAGCCTCTAACTCCTGGGCTCAAGTGATCCTCTCACCTCAGCCTCCTGGTAACTGGAACTACAGATGTATGTCACCATGCCCAGCTAATTTTTAAATTTTTTTACAGAGATGGGGGCGGGGTTTCACTTTATTGCCCAGGCTGGTCTCGAACTTCTGGCCTCAACTTTTTTGAAGTCTTTATAATTGATGTTTTATGTGAAAATCTTCAGTGAAAAATACTTAGTCATTCTGCCTACTTTTTGTGAAAGCAGTGATTTCAGCCACCTTCCTAAAATGACCTTGCTCCTGTGCTGAGTCCCTAAGCCTGCTCTGAGAACCGGAGGGCACCTATGTGCAGGTCCCTGATTCCTTCCCGGGCAGCACGGCCTGGGGCCAGACCCCAGGAGCCACGTGATCAGGTGAGCTCTCCTCCGCCCTCCTAGCTTGGCTCTTCTCTCTCCCCTAACATGGGGTGGGGCCTAGCAGACGCTGGTACAGCCGGTGATGGGGAGACGCCCCCTGGGCCACCCAGTGGCTGGCTTCCTCACCTGGCAGTTGAGGCCGGTATAGCCCTGGGGGCAGGTGCACTTGTAGGTACCGCAGCTGTCCTGGCAGGTCCCGCCATGCAAGCAGGGCCGTGAGTCGCACTCATTGATGTCATGCTGGCAGTAGCTGCCCGTGAAGCCCGGTGGGCACAGGCAGGTGAAGGAGTTGATGCCATCCACGCAGGTACCGCCGTTGAAGCAGGAGCTATGGGCGGGCAGGTGGGCAGTAGGGAGGTGAGCGGGCACAGGGGGCACACCAGCATCTCCCCATCGACTCAGGCCACAAAGGCCCGACAGCCAGGGGTCTCAGACTCACACGTCACACTGCCTTCACTGCCTTTTTCTTTTTCTATTTTGAGTCAGAGTTTCACTCTGTCTCCCAGGCACGATCACGGCTCACCACAGCCTCAAACTCCTGGGCTCAGGCGATCCTTCTGTCTCAGTCTCCCAAGTAGCTGGAACTACAGCCATGAGCCACCATGCCCGGCTAGTTTATTTTTACTTTTTTGTAGAGATGGGGTCTCACTATGTTGCTCAGGAGGGTCTCAAACTCCTGAGTTCAAGTGATCCTCCTTAAGGGCTAGCATTACAGGCATGAACCACTATGCCTAGTCATGTCTGCCTTCTGTGAAACTTATGCTGAGCTGGGCTTTACAACACATGTGGGTGAAAGGTGGTTAAAGAAACAAGGGAGAAAACAGCACCTGCACAGGTAACATGGGAGATAACTACATCAGAAGCCAGGGATGAGACTAACATTTAACACTGAGCTTCCTGGCAGCCAAAGGAAAAAAGGAAACAAGAAGGACCACAAAGTTCTGGGTGTGAGACAGAAGGAGGCACACCAGTTCTTCAGGATAAACCACTGGGGCTCCTGCTTCTGGTCACAGGAGGAGGTCACAATGGCTCTTTTAGAAGAGACACCGCAATACAATGAACAATGTCTGGACTGGACTCAACTAGCACTAAGTACCCACTGGGCCTGGGCGGACACCTGTGTGGCATGCCAGGTTGCCAGATGCCAAGCGTGGCCTCCGCCGCCTGCTTCCTTCCTCGCCTCCGAGGCCAGGCCCCAGCCTGGCGGTACCCAAGCCTCCCAGTGTGCCGAGGCGCTGGTCACCTCTCTGTGCAGTCGGGCGTGTTGTCCTCACAGTGGATGCCACTGAAGCCCGTGGGGCAGGTGCACGTGTAGCTGTCCACGCAGTCGGTGCAGTTTGCGCCGTTGCGGCAGGGGTTGCTGGCGCATTCGTTGATGTCCTCCTCACAGAAGGTGCCCTGGAAGCCGGGCAGGCAGTCGCAGAAGGCTGTGTTGACGCCATCCGTGCAGGAGCCCCCATTGTGACACGGGTCTGGGAGGGGACAGGGAGTGAGTCTGAGGGACAGCCCAGCCCTCTGCTTCCAGGGCTGCAGGAGCCTCCTCGGTGATAGGGGTGTCCCTTTCCCCAAGGTGACAGAAGTGCTCCCTTGCCCAAAGGTGATACAGGTGTCCAAGGGTGACAGGAGTGTCCCCTCGTCCAAAGGTGACAGGGTTATCCTCTTGCCCAAAGGTGACAGAGGAGTCCCCTCACCCAAAGGTGACAGGGGTGTCCAAAGGTGATGAGGGTCTTCCCTTGTCCAAAGGTGACAGGGTGTTCAAAAGTCATAAGGGGCCGGGCTCGGTGGCTCAGCCTATAATCCCGCGCTTTGGGAGGTCGAGGTGAGTGAATTGCCTGAGCCCAAGGGTTTGAGACCCACCTGGGCAACTTGGCGAGACCTCATCTCTAC